GGACTCACCTGCTCAGGTAGAAGAGGAGCTGCAGCTTTGATTTGCTTCATTTCTCTTCTGATGAAACTCACTTTATTGTTTTACTGATGACTCTCTGGTTTCTGTTCAGAGCCTGATGATGTCAGGTTGGTGGGAGGAGCCAGTCGCTGTGCAGGAACACTGGAGCTGAAACATCAGGGAGACTGGAGACCAGTGAGTTACTCTGGCTGGATACGAGTGTTTCTCTCTTACTCTGGCTGGACCCTGGAGACAGCAGCTGTTGTCTGTAGAGAGCTGGACTGTGGCTCTGCTGTTTCTGTAGGAGAGAGAGAGGATTCCTCAGTCAGACCTGTGTGGGGGATCAGCTCTGACTGTGTTCAGTCTGGATCTGCTCTGAGGGAGTGTGTAGAATCAACTTCTTCTTCTTCCTCCATCCTGGATCTCACCTGCTCAGGTAAGCCCATCAGTGACATCATCTATGACATCATCTATGACAGCACACTGATTCTTCAGATTTTGGTAAAAACACGTCTCACGTCTAAGAAAAATGCTAATTCCATAGAAGTTAATAACATTTTCTTATTTAAAACAACCAGGGTCGATCATCTGAGGGTCTTCTGCATAAATTTAGTTCATTTTCATCTACTTGTTTTAAACTGTGTGATTTTTTTTTTTTGACAGCCCAGGACCCACAAAATCTATTTTCCTCAGACAAGACATTTCATTTCAATTTGATAAAAAGGAGGAAAAGCTCATTTTAAATGTATATCGGCCAGATGAAAGAGTAGAGTGAACAAACTCTTTAAAGCTAGAAGCAGTGGATTTTCAACAATATGTACTGTTAGTTTTTCATTGCTCAGAATGTGTCCCAAGTTTCTGTCAACACCGTCACATATTTATTAAAGAGCAATAAAATCAGGCAGCTACACGGTCAGCTATATTCCCGAGGACCCCTTTCCACCTTCCACATTTACTAAATGCAACGGTCAAACAAGCTCCTGTAATTTGCCATTTGTCCATATTTGTTGTTAACATATTTAGTGATGTTTCTAATGTCACAACCATAAAATGTCAACAGCGTCTCTTTTGTATAGAAAGGATTATTTTAAATTAGAAACACATGCATTTTCTGTAGAGGCCAGAGGCAGCTAGCAACAGGGGGAAAACAAGACGGCTCCCGGATACCACTCGGCATGTCGTGTTAATAAATGTGTTTGTGTCACCACGTCAGGTTTTATGTCTGACGGTGACAAAAACATCCAGATCATCTTCAAAGGAGGCTTCAATAATATTTATGATCAGAAGAAATAGGAACATGGCTTGTAATGTTTCATCGGCCTCTCATTTCCCCTTCGTCTACCATACAGTAGTTCTGCAGTATTTTCTTACTATATGTATCCCCAATGTCTGAAAACAGAAATTCTTCTTCTTAAGAAATTTCCCCTAATACACCAGACAGATTTTCTCTCTGGAAAATCTTGTGTGTCTTCGTAAAATCTTCACTCCTACCTGTGCATGATGGCAAAGAGATTGGAAATAAAGCTAAAGGTAAAGCAAGGAAAAATTGCCATTACAAGGTCGAACCTAAATATTGCTGGATTGGTGAGATCTCGTACAATAAACACATAAGTTTAGATATCTTCATATTACGTTTTATTTCTTTTCAACATTAAAACCTGTTTTATCCAAATTAATGTACCCGTGTTGACAAACTCTCAGCAGCTAGAATGGCAAAGAGGGTCCAACTGTAGACCTCCACAGTCAGGCTGGTCAGGACAGTAAATACACGTAAAAAAAATACAAAATAAAGCGTGCGATTTGACAGGAAACACATTCTAAAATGATAAAGTTTAATCTTGTGGACACTTGTAGGGGGAGGGATCTTGTTGGTGATTTATATTTAATTATTTAGTCAATATTGTAACATGAAACTAGCAGCCTAATTCCTTAAATATAGCATATTGATTGGAACCTTTTTACTTAGCTCTTAACGTCCAAGTGTAGCAACAAAGCCAACTGTATATCGCTTCAATCATTCAACCAGCAACAGGCACTGTTTATTTATTCTGTCAGAACAGGACGTTGATCCGTCCACACAGCAGCCACATCCACTCACAGGAAAACGCATCATCGTTGATTAAGAGTGGACCTTTGCCTCTTCCACTCGTCTCGTTGGTAACTTCCCTTTGAAGAGTAATATGTACTCTGGCGTTTTACTGCTGAGTTAAACTGAAGTTTGAGCTTCGTGGGAGTCTGCAGTATAACGACCGTTACCGGCGGAGATGAATCAATAAATAAATACCAGAAGCCTGGACAGACAGAGAGACGGAGACTTTATTACGCGGTCAACACTACTTTCCCCAGATGTGTGTGATCCTGCAACAAAGTTTACGTTTCAAAAGCCTGAAATAAACCAACAAAGACTAACGTTACTGCTCAGGGAGAAACCCGCCCTTTATGGAGTCATATTAATTATTAATCAGTTCATAATGATGCTCGTGCGGCGCGCAGCACAGTTCATCTGGAAAACCTGTTTCTCTTATTAATGTAAATGATCATTTCAGTGAAAATCCATATATGATTCAAAATAATGGCTGCAGGTAAATTAATCAGAGGCAGGATTTTACTGCTTCCATAAGAGCTCAGACCTCCTTATGGACCATAACTAGAATCCTGCTGGACTACATGGACTACAGCTTGTGGACTATCAAACTGTAAAACCAAATGAACACACATGCAATACAACACGTATACCTGTATCCATAATGATGTAAATATCCACTTTTTAACATTTAATGGAGACACAAAGTTAGTACCTGCTGTAATACTTACTGACTGTATACACACAGATTTTACCTATTTTAGGAGGCTAATAACATCTGGCAAAGGGACTGCCGAAGAAAACTAGCCTGTGGCTAACTCGGGTACACTTACATTTGCTTTGAATGTTGTCCCTTTTCAAATAAACAAATAAATAATATGAAATTACACAGTTAGAACAGGAGCTGGCAGCAGAGACTGATTTGCATTAATGCAAAACTTTAAAATAAGTCTGAATGCTTCGGTCCCTGCATGTTCCATCAAAATATCTACGACTATCAATATTTGTACATCTAAATCACGCTAATTAGGATCTGCCAGCTGAGGCTGTGGTGAAGAGGAGTTTCTTTCTGTGGATATATAGCAGTGTGTTAAATCTCTCCCTGCTGCAAAACAGCTGATTCAAACTATCAGCTCGTTCTGAATCCTGAAGCTGCTTCAGTCAGCTGTGTTGAAGCAGGGAGAGATTAAATCCTGCAGGACAGGGGGACACTTTCTCCAGGAGAGGGAGGGGAAACACTGTCTTAGTAACGCTACATAAGCTTCAATTCAACTAAGATGAATTCATCCAGCCAGCAAAGTCTTTGCTCACTGTTTAAGACACCGGACGGTCTAAACGGTCTTTATTTTATCTTCTTTTGGACAAATAACTAACCTGAGCGTCATAGTCAACATATTAGGACAAATGCAGACCTGTGCCCTCGCTAAATAATCTGTTCAAAAATGCTTCACAAATAAACATTTAATAAAGCCAAGCACACAGTAGCTTCATTCAGTCTATGAGTAGCTCACGTTATCCAAAGGAGAAAAAGCTAATCCTACCATGCTACTGCAGGAGCTAACGCTAGCCACCGTTGGTGTAGCCTGACGTTACCTATGTAGAACGACAAACTTACACACGTGGAACTTTCTGTCATTTAGATGGATAATATAGACGGCAGCAGTTTTGATGGCGAACACATACCAAGAGCACTCAGACTTTACTCAGTGTTTTAATAATGCTAACCAGTCACCTACCGCTGTCACGACGTGTAGAGTAGCAAAACAACAGAGAATGCATCACGTTACGTCCTGTGGGGACGTAAAAAACTTATTTATGGTTAGTTCCTGTCCTGAGAGAGGAGTTCTGCAGTTGGACCCCTCTCAGAATGACAGCAGACTGTCTCTGGCAGCCATGACGGAGTCTGATGAGCTGCTGTCTCCGTAAATCAGGAGCTGAATGCACCCAGATATATATATGTATGTTTGAAACATGTCTGCTGCTTCAGGAGGCCCCGGGGCCAAAGGACAGAGTCCAGCCCCTATCCCTGTTAGAGCTGCTGGAGCATTTTCTAAGCAGCTTTTTCTTCTGGGTTCCAGATCTTCTTAGAACATTAAGACAGAATGAAAAGTGATGAACTTGTTTGTGTGGAGAGCAAAGATTGTGGAGTAGCTGAGCAGAAGGAACAGAGCAGAGAAATCTGCAGATGATGATGTTGTGCTGTTGTTTGGAAACATGTTGAAAGTGTTCAGACGTGGAGAACAAGTGTGACAGAGTATTAAATGGAAATGTGCTGGTGAACTTGCTGCAGTCTGTGCTGGTAGAAAGATGTGTTCTGTTGTTAATGATGAACTGATGTTGGAGTTGTGCTGAGTCCACCTTGAATCACTGAATTGTTGTTTCATGACATGTTTTTCTTTTGTGTCTGCTGTCTTTATCTCTATTTCATCTTCTATTATCTCTCCAGACTCTGTCAGGCTGCTGAACGGGACTAGTCTGTGCTCAGGGAGACTGGAGGTGAAGTCTAACCAGTCTAACCAGTCTAACCAGTCTAACCAGAGGTGGTCCTCAGTGTGTGAAGCTGACTTTGACCAGCAGGATGCAGAGGTGGTCTGTAGGGAGCTTGGCTGTGGGGCTCCTTCAGTCCTCCAGGGGGCGCTCTATGGAGAAGTGGAGGCTCCGATGTGGACCAAAGAGTTCCAGTGTGGAGGCCATGAGTCTGCTCTCCTGGACTGTAGAAGCTCAGGCTCAGCTAGAAACACCTGCTCACCTGGAAAAGCTGTTGGACTCACCTGCTCAGGTAGAAGAGGAGCTGCAGCTTTGATTTGCTTCATTTCTCTTCTGATGAAACTCACTTTATTGTTTTACTGATGACTCTCTGGTTTCTGTTCAGAGCCTGTCAGGTTGGTGGGAGGAGCCAGTCGCTGTTCAGGAACACTGGAGCTGAAATATCAGGGAGACTGGAGACCAGTGAGATACTCTGACTCTGACTGGGGACTAATGATTAACTCTGACGGGATGATAGAATTAAACTCTTTCTGGACCCTGGAGACAGCAGCTGTTGCCTGTAGAGAGCTGGACTGTGGCTCTGCTGTTTCTGTAGGAGAGAGAGAGGAGTCCTCAGACAGACCTGTGTGGAGGATCAGGTCTCACTGTGTTCAGTCTGGATCTGCTCTGAGGGAGTGTGTAAGATCAGGTTCCTCTTCCTCCATCCTGGATCTCACCTGCTCAGGTAAGCCCATCAGTGACATCATCTATGACATCATCTATGGGTGCTTCTCAAGTCTCTTATTTGTCGTTTCCTCGCTTGAAACGGAAGTTGTTCCACTCCGCCATCTTGCAGGCTGTCCCAAAGCTCTTATTTGCGCTCCGAGGAGCGATTTCTGAGGAGCTATGAGTGAGGATACACCTGCGCATCCTTCACAGAAGTCTTTTACTGACGACACGCCCCCTTACTGGGTAGCCGTTTTATTGATTGGACGCTGCAGCTGATCAGAGTGATCTTGATGCATCAGGACAGAAACATTAAACTCAAGTTTACCTCTGCAAAGAGTTAGTTTGAGTTGTTTTCTGATTCACTGTCTAGTTAAAATCAGAGTTCCCAGTAGGTCTAAACAACAAAAACCCCACACACAACTTTCTTAATTTAGGCGTATTAGAAAGATTTTCTTTTTCTTTTCTTTCTCCCATCAACTTTTATTATGGAGACAATTAAAGTGCGAGAGAGTCAGAGAGTCTGTCAGCAAGAAACATGTTTTATATCATTTATCGTCATTTCTGTTCAGTCACATGTGAGGCAGCTCATTCCTGTGTTTAGTCCAAATAGACGACAATAAAACATAAAGTAAGGAGTCGGACACTAAACTGCACTAAAGTCTCTAATGAAGCGAGCAAAGGGAGATAAAGCATCCATCCAGTATCTCACCCACTGCATCTGATGAAAGCAGCCGGCGGCTCCGCGAGTAAAATGAGCTGATGAAAGTATGAATGAAAGCTGCTGCGCTAAAAAAAAAGAAAGCGTCGGACTGATATGATGGAACGCAATGATCGATCGGTGAGGAGTGATGTGACTTGCAAATAAAATGTATGCAGTAGTGTTAAAGGATATCTGAAGAGGAAATAAACTGAAAGCCTAAAACTGAGCGGACTTTGACGTAAGTTAGCCTACATCATTTCAATTTCCCTGAAACCTTTAGCCTGATAAATCCAGAGACACCAGGATCATATTCTTGGTTATTCAATAACGAATTCACAATCAGAATCAATAAATCTAAATGCAGAGAGGCTAATATAAGCATTGCGTCAGTAGAAAATGCTGTGACTCCGAGCAGGACACAGAAACCTATAATCTTTCATGTGCAGGTGTTTGTTAAACGGGTAACCGCTACAGAGAGAATCATGCTGCTGTGCACTAATAACTGAGACACAGTACCAACGCAGCGCACGTGTGTGCAGACACAAACTCCAACAAAAGTCTCTACAGCTGTTAGAGCCGAGTGACAGCTGATCCAGCTGCCGCCGTCATCAGAAACGGACGTCGCTTCATGTGACGCTTCGGAGGAAAGGACGTCTCATGTCTCTAAAAACACATTTCCTCATCCCTTCTCTCCTGACTTGGTTCCCTTGCGTCTCTCCATGCATCCCCAGTGGGCGGGACTAAGACGCAAGGAAAAGTGAGGGAAACGTGGATGCAATTAAGAGACTTGAGGAGCGCCCTATGACATCATGTATGACTGTAATGTCTCCAGTGCGTACCTGTGTCAGACCTGTGACATCACTTCCTTCTTCAGGGGCCATTTTGTTGATGTGACCTTTCATCATCTGTGTGTTTACAGACCTGCTGCTTCAGCCCAACATCTCTGCGTCCTCCTCCATGGACGGGGTCTCCGAGGCCCAGCAGCAGGGCTTTCAGGTGTCCAGGGGCTCCAACTTCACCATCAGCTGCTCCATCCAGCCACAGTACCCGGGAGGCTCCTTCCAGCTCGCCTTCACCTCCTCCATCACATCACACAACTACACCCAGCCAGCTGTCAATCACTCTGCCCACTTCCTGTTTCCTGCCGCAGAGCCCGCCCACCAAGGAAGCTACAGCTGTGTTTATCACGTCCATGTTTTTTCTCATGACTTCTCCTCTGAGAGCCGTCGGCTGTTTCTCACTGTCTCAGGTAAGCTGAAGCAGAGCAGCTGAAACGTCACACTGTTTCCATGCAGCTTTGGAAAAGATGATCCGTCCGAACTGGATCGATGGATCGAACTGGAGCGATGCCTGGGCACGTTGAACTCTACTCCTGTGGTGTTGAATCAGCCCACATATAAAAGTCTCACCAAAGTCCTGTTTGATGTACAGATCATAGAGCCCCCTGAAAATAATGAGATTCTGGTCTGTAGAAATCAAAGGACACAATCGGAGCCTCGATTCAGATAATAATAAATTATATTTATTTATATTTTATATTTACGATGGCTGATGGGTTCCCAGAGTTCTTTTGGGCCGATGCTTTCCGTCTCTTTTGCTCTTTTGTTTACCTTCATGCAACCAAAGACCGCTCATACGTGATTGGTGGGACTCCAAACAGAAACCAGAACTCTGCTAATACCAAAACCTGGTCCCCTGCCTCCATACTGCGTTCAGATATCTGCTGATAGAGATTACTGACGTACAGAATCCCACAGCTCCATGTTGAAGTGGTTTTGGAGATTTCAGGTCTCTACAGTTTGTGTTTAATGGGAGCTGATGGACTCATGATGGTGTGTGATGTGATGACTGTCCATGTGTTTGATCAGATCCAACAGGTCTTCTCATCATATTGGTCGTCCGGCCGCTGACTCTGCTGCTGCTGTTGGTGTTGGTGAACGCTGCCCTTTATTTCTACTATAAGGTACTGACACGTGTCTGTTGTTCAGAGGGTCTCGGTCTGTGTTTACTGAAGAACAGGAGGAGTGATGCACTAACTCTCATGTCTCTGTCATGTCTCTCCAGGCCAGCAGGGGGCAGAAGCCGGGCAGGCAGGAGGACATTGAGCTGGATTATTATAACCTGGGTGTTTGTGCAGCTGAAGGAGGGCCGACTGAAGAGGAAGGAGCTCAGGGAGCAGAGTAGGACCTCCAAGGATCATCTCAGCTGCCACACAACCCACCATCAGCTCAGTCCAGGATTTTACACTTTTATACTGATGTTCCCTTTAAACAGTCCAGCTGGAATTATTAGATTACATTAGAAACATTTTATTACTCTCAACCACAGGCAGAAATTGTGGGAGGGTTGGGGGCGTCAGGACCCGACACAAGCCGACACAACCAAGCTCAGAACCAATGAGCCTACAGGACCATAAGCAAGCTCAACACCACTGAAGGCCACAGTGACCTGCACAGACAACTTTTTAAGGACTCAGACCAACTCTTATTATAACACATTATGACAACAAGCTTAACAGATAAGCACTGACGCACTGACCCCCATCACCATCGATATCAATCGATCCAGTCCAACAGAATGGCCAATGCACGGACCAGCACCACAAAGGCAGGATAATAAAAGATGCTTTCATTCACCACAGCTGAGGGTCAGTTGAGGAGGAAAACAGCACGCCGGTTCCTCTGGGTAAACTTCTCAATGACTTTGGGAATGAAGTCAGGTAGCAGCTGAATCAACTGGCTTTCGATGGACAGCATGGACAGTGCGCTGAGCAACGTTAGCGGGTATTGCGTGTAAAAGTTTTTGGAAATGTATCTCAATATTCCTCGCTTCAGAAAGTCCCCTGACTCGGCGCAGCCTTGCAGTGCTGTTGCACATTTACCACAAAGTAAACAGGAGTGATCACGTCTGTTTTCAAATAGCAGACCTGGAAAACAGCCGTGGCTATGCCCCACCTGCCCCTGATGACCAGTCGCCATTGGATATATACTCTGAATAAGTGTGTAAGTAGTAAAACAATACAAAAGCAAACAGGGCAATTAAAGTGTGTTTTAAGTTTAGAAACAGATTCGCAGATTGATCAGCTGGGGACTGAAATAGGCCATTTTTTAGCTTACTCGGGTCTGACCGGTGACCGGGGCCCAGCAGTGTGAATTAATCACTCAATAAACAGTCCATAATTATATTATTCGCCCGAGTTTCCCCCTGGTCGCCCCACACGTGGAACAACCCTCAGACCCAGTCGAAGTCGAAATAATACAAATATACACTTAATATTTTGGTGATTTCAATAAACTCTGAAGGAAAAATACCAACGTAACACGCTGGACAAAACACCTGTATATATTTTTGTAAGTTTTTATTGGAAAAATCCATTTTTATTAGGATCCCCATCAGCACAAGTGTAAATGTTGGCTATTTTTTTTTTTTATATTCTCACTGGGGTCCATTCAATTGTATGTTCATAATGAAACATTGATTATTAAATAACATTTGCATTTTCACTGGAAAGAGCTTTTATAGCCTAAAATCCAACTGAAAATAAATACTCTCAACATGAAAAGAACAAAACCAACAGTGTTTATCTTTTATCTATCTTTTATTTGGTCGAAGGTCATGAGCTGATCGTTCTCAAATAAATGTTCCAAGTTGGTTACTCCTCTCTGTTTCCATACTTGAAAAATGATGGATTTTTTGTTGATGAGAAACATTGGATAATGCCATATATGTGTAATAGCAGAAGGAGATGGATTGCTGTGTATAACGTCATTAGCTTTCCACCATGCACTCATTGTAGTGTGTATAATGTTGTTTTTGAAACAGATGTGTTTTAATGGATTTGTCTAGAAATGGTAGGTCAGATTACAATAATCCTTGAACAGTTGTTAGTTCAATGTCTGACCATGTGGCAGGGGTATTGTTGGATCAAGATATGATATAATGTAAATGATTAGCAAGAAAGTAGTAATATAAATTTGGGGCATTTAGTCCACCAAGATATTTGGGTTTCTGTAAGGTGGCAAGTTTGATTCTGGGTTTTTTATACTTCTTCCAAGCCAGAGCGCAGATAGCTTCCTTACCGCCAGCATGACTGGCTCATTTCCACATACTAAACAGCTCAGATAACACCAAAAACAGGTCATAATCCATACACCAGGGACTAACAAGCAGGGCGGGAGCAACACAGGTGAGCGGGATTAACGAGGAAGGCGGGCAGACAGCAGGGACTGGGAGGCAGGCAGATTACTGGGAGAACAGACAGAACACATGTTACCAGACAAGAATCTAACCCCAGACAATAAAAAACACCCATGCAAACAGAGAAACACAGAGCAACTATAATACAGGGATCATAACAGACAAAACCTAAATGAGAACACAGAACTAGAACACAGAGGCAGGGAGTAGAAAACAACATAACTGAGCAGGGCAGGACTGAAACTAGAATTAGGCAGAACACCACACAATCACAGAATAAGACAGGAACTAAGGCAAGCACAGATCAAAACCAAAAGACAGGCAGCAGTAAATAAACTAACACTGGGCAGACTGAACACACGACAGGACTGAACACCAGAACACAACAGACCTTAATGACAGATACAGAATTGACAAATAAATAAACTCACATAGAAACTCAGAAACTCGCAGAATTTCAGATTTAGACCAATTGATGGAATAGCCAGATACAGCTTGTTGTGAATTATGTTAGAGCATTATAGCCTAAATTGTTAGAGTTTAGAATTGCTTGAGCGATGGTGGTCTACACTGTCATCATTTAAAGAGTTATTTTACAGTGTTAAAACTCTCCAGCTCTGAGTGTGTGTGGTCCTCTCTGTATTTCACTTCCATTCCCAATGTTTCCTGTTCAAATAGCACATCAAATAGCATCATCTTGTCAACTTGCATCATCTTGTCACAAGATCTCTGACGTAATTGCTGACGTAATCTGCACTCTGCGCATGCGTTGTGTCTGTAGCCACCTGTCGGAAGCTCCGTCTTGAACCGGACTCTTATCCAGTTTTAATCTACTTTTTTCGTTACATTTTTTATATCCTTTTATTTAACTTAACTTTATTTAAGTTTTACGTGGGTTAAGGATTTTAGTCATCCGACATGGATTTTAAGATAGATGACCGTAAAAACGCGATCAACGCTACTGATCGCAACAAAGCTCCGGTGACTATGCTAGCCGAGATAACTCTGCCCCATGAGGACTGCTCACTCCTTAAGAAAGCGAACAAGAAGATTGCTGACCTTATGGAAGACATCCGACGACTTTCAGAGGAACTCAAAGAGAAAGATTCCCTGCTGACTGGCTTTATGGATGTAGCTTCAGTACAAGCCAAACAGATTGTTTCTCTTAGCGCAACCGCTAACATCCAGGACACCGTGTTTTGGGACCCCTCTAGTCTTCCCAGGCTTTCATCCTGCTCGACTCCGAAGCATCAGTCAACCTGGGCTGAAGTGGTGGTCCGTGGCTGCAAGAGAGGCTCTGATGGGGCTGCCTCTCCTCTGTCCATCGGCCTCTCCAACCGCTATGCAGCCTTGTCTAACGACACTCCGGTCCATCCAGCGGATTCACCTGCGGCTTCGAGTCTCCCTGATACGGATCTCTTTCGGCGCACAGCGCCTGCCGACACTGTTGCATCTCCGCCACCGGCTACATCTCCTGCATTGGGCCGCCGGTCTGCCGCCGGACTTGATCGGCGGCCGTCATCCCGGTCAAAAACCTCCGCTTCCCGACGTAGGATCCTGAAGGAGGCTGTGCTCAGACGCTCCGGAGGCCGTCTCTACCCTGCACCGTCGGGTAGCCCTTCTCTCAGGTCTGTTACTGCTACTCCAACACAACACTCGGCAGCTCACACACTCCATCCTCAGTCCGCACGCAGTGTTGAAGCAGATTCTGCTCAGTCCTGCTCTGGATCCCAACAACCAGCATCTCCTCGTCCCCTTTTCTCCCCAACCACACTAATAATTGGTGACTCCATAACCAGAAACCTCCGTTTCTTTAACGCTACCACTCACTGCTTCCCTGGTGCCACCACGGCTGACATTTTCAAAAAACTCCAGGACCTGATGCCGTCGCTCCCGTCCTCCATCACAAGAGTGATAGTCCATGTGGGAACAAATGACACAGCTCTTCGGCAGTCTGAGCTGACAAAATTAGATTTTAACCGTCTTCTTAACTTTTTAAAGCAGTGCGGAAAGTCCGTTTTTATCTCTGGTCCCATTCCCACATTCGGTCGCGGTGCTGGCCGCTTCAGTAGACTCCTTGGCCTCCACGACTGGCTCCAGTTCGCCTGCAGGGCTCACCGTGTGTTTTATGTGGATAATTTTAATATTTTCTGGCAAAGAATGTCTCTTTTTAAGACAGACGGACTTCACCCAAACAAACGGGGCTCAGAAATGTTAGCTGCGCACATACAGCATGTGGTGCGGTCCACACATGACTTACGTGAATGACTAATCATTCATGCAGCACACCTGGACACACCACCGCTCACTGAACAGATCTCTGCCTCACTGCCACAAACAACTGTCTCCACCTGCTGGCATGTAAAGCCGTCTGCTCCCAGCGCTGTTCCACAGACTTCTATTCCTGTCATCATCACGCATAGACCAGTAAACCGAAATGTGCACATCCCACACAGAAATAAGTAATCTCTCAAGGATTAGGACAACTGCACCAACTCCAGCACCCAGAACAAACTCATTTAAAATGGCTCTCTTCAATGTGAGATCACTTTCAAGTAAGACTTTTATCTTAAATGATTTTATCTTGTCTGCAAATCTAGATTTTATGTTTTTAACTGAATCCTGGTTGCAAATGAATGACTATAGCCAGCTAGCTGAACTGTGTCCGCCTCAATATGATTGCTTTAGTCAACCGAGGGTCAGTGGTTGTGGTGGTGGGCTAGTGAGCGTGTATAGGAAAAATTTTAAATGTCATCAAGTACGCTGTGATGAATTTAGCTCCTTTGAAGTTCTCACTCTTAAAGTTGGAGGGCTGCAACCTATCATATTTGTTATAATTTATCGCCCCCAAAACCGCCTGGAGGATTTTTATCAGAACTTCCTGAATTTTTATCTACTCTGGTTTTAAATTATGACAGAATTGTTCTTTGTGGCGATTTTAATATTCATGTTGATGACCCCAACAATGTTAATGCAACTGACTTTTTAAATATGGCCACTTCTTTTAACTTCAAACAACATGTCAAAGGGCAAACACATAACCGTGGTCATACACTGGACTTGGTTTTTACCCTGGGTGTCAGCGTCTCCTCTGTGGAATTAGTGGACATGACCATATCTGACCACAGATGTATTGTTTTTAGCTGCGATTCGC